GAGCCACCTACAGGGTCCCCCCCAGCCAATACACCCGAACCCCCTCCTCCCCAGAGCCCAACCACGGGGCCCACCCTTCCCGAGACAAACCCCTTCCCCCCCACCCCAGGGATCCAGAAGGAGAAACAGCCTGATGCTCAGTCCCAGGCCTGCACAGAGTTTCCTGTGCGCTGCCCTCTCCTTCCCCCAGGGCATGCTGGGAACTGCAGCTGCCAGGAACCCTCTAGCTCCCTCTCCCTCCCCGCCAGCAGCCCATTTCTGTGGGAAAAAGGAAATTCTGCGCTTACAACGTTCATTTCTTCAAAATTCTGCATTGCGCACTGGCGCAGAATTCCCCCAGGAGTAACTGTAAAGTGAGAGGTTAAAGTGTCAGAGTTTACCTTGTTTCCCCACTGAGTCCTAGCTACTGTCATGTCGGATATTTTGTACGTTCACTTATCAAAGGATAAATAATTGGTGTGATGCTATTTCCCCGACTCTCTCTCATTAAAAGGCAGATCAGAAGCGGCGCTCAGAAATTTCCTTACTAGATGACATTTCATCGCAATGTCCGATCGTTTGGGGCAAATAACCAAGGGAAAGGATGGGAAAAGCAAGTACTCGACTCTCAGCCTGTTTGATAAGTATAAAGGAAAGTCAATAGAAGCTATCAGAACTACAGGTAAGTAATGCCAGAGACAAGCTAGTTAAGCTTTCTCTTGCAGAGTATGTCTTTACTGCAGTGTTAACTCAGTTGATTGGCCCCTGCGTGTGAGCAGCCACACTACAAAACCAAACTTGAGTTAATCTGTCCCCACTGGCGCTACACTCACCTGTGTATGTCGCTAGGACTTCTGAGGATATATCCCATGGTGCTTTGCTGCAGTAAGCTGCACTCTGATGGTTGCATGTAAGATACAGGAGGCAATTGTCCCGCTCTGCTCAGCGCTGGTCAGGCCTCAGGTGGTGTATTTTGTCCAGTTTTGTCCACACTTTAAAAAAGATGTGAACAAAGAGGGAGAGTCCAGAGGAGAGCAACAAAAATGATAAAAGATACAGAAAACCTGACCTATGAGGAAAGCTTTAAAAAAAATCTGGGCCGGTTGAGTCTTGAGTAAAGAAGACTGAAGGGGGCCCTGATGATGATCTTCACATATATTAAGGGCTGTTATAAAGAGGATGGTGATAAATTGCTCTTCATGTCCCCTGAAGGTAGGACAAGAAATAATTGGCTTAATATGCAGCAAGGGAGATTTAAATTGGATATTAGGAAAAACTTTCAAACTCCTAAGGATGGTTAAATACTGGAATAGTTTACCCAGGGAAGTTGTGGAATCCCTGTCATTGGAGGTTTTTAAGAACAGGTTAGACAAACACCTGTCCAGGATGGTCTGGGTATTCTTAATCCTGCCTGAGCACAGGGGACTGGACTAGATGACCTCTCAGGGTCTCATCCAGTCCTATATTTTTATGGTTCTTTCCCAATTAGTTGTGGGAGAACTTGTCGGTTCTTTGGGCACATGGGGGAATTGTGGGAAGGCATTGGAGGACTATCGGCACTCAAGCGGTTTAACCTGTGTCCTCACTGTAAAGTGAACTGGTTACCAGTTCGATTAAAAGCCTCACTCAGGTTTTAGTCGACGCCCCAGGGCAGCTAGCCAGGATGTAAAGCAAACTAAACTCTGGCCAGAGGTTTTTGTGTGTGGATTGGAGCTGGGTTAGGAGCCCAGGTGAACTCTGCAGTGAAAATATACCAGAAGTGGGGATACTGAGGTCAGAAAACTGAAACTAATAGGCTGGGTTTATTCTAAACTCAGTGTGGGATGGAAGAGTGGACAGAAGGAAGATTTTATCTCAATTTAGTAAACTAGGTCTAGTGGTTAGAGCAGAGGGGACTTGGATCCAGGACTGCAGGCTTCTATTTCTAGGGCTACAGATGTGTGGCCTTGGACAAGCCACTCAACTCCTCTGTGCCTTTACTTAGCTCTGAAATGGAGATGATAATTCTATTTACCTACGCGATTATAGGTGATGAGACGTAATGCACTGTTTGGAAAGCACTGTGAGATCCAACAGAGAGACAGGTTCAGTCCCAGCAAAGTTAACTGAGCCCTTCTTCCTGCTGGAGAAGATAAACTTGATGTTTTATGTGGTTTTCTAGATGAGGCTTTGGGCTAGAGCTTTAAATAAAAACCCATGGCCTTGTGTGATCTGCATAGTTACTAACAATCCCAGGACACTTTCCAGAAGAGGAAGGTTTTTGCCTCTGTCCTTGGCCAATATCTCCTGTCTTGTCACTGTTGTGTTTGGGTTATGTGCCAGCTGATTGTCAGTCCACCACAGAGGTGACAGCATTGCAGTGGTTCTTTTGGAGGAGAGAGTCTGTATAAATATGAAGTACTAATGTTATAGAAGTGCATATTAGCATTGCTGTTGCAGTGTGATTCTGCAGGTTAGGATCAGATTTTGCCACCCTTACTTTCATTAAGTAGTATCTTACTCCTATTTGTCCCATTGAAACAAATGGGACTATTTGAGGGGTAAGGCATATAACTGAGGTAAATGAGGAGAATCTAGCCCTTAATGACCTGCTGTCCCTGTCACCAGTTATTCCTAGACATGGCTTACAGAGTCTTGGGAAAGTTGCTGCTGCCCGGCGCATGCCACCTCCTGCAAACTTGCCAAGCTTGAAGTCTGAGAACAAAGGAAACGACCCCAACATCATTATAGTACCCAAGGACGGTACAGGATGGGCAAACAAGCAGGATCAGCCAGACCAAAAGAGGCAAGTGGAGCAATTCTTATGTAAACCCTCTCAGATAAGAAACAGAAATTATACTCAGTCATGCTGAGCATTCTCTTTGGGCTTTACTAGTGACTTCTCCCCAGGTGGGATTGGTTACCATGTAGATTTAAGAATACTGTTGGATTACTAGATCCATAGAACCCTGCCTGTATACAAAATTTGTCTCTGAGTCCGATCTGCGATCCGCAAACATAGTCTGCGGATAGAAAGCAGATATCCACAGATTTTGATGGCTCTAAAGATCCAACCTCTCTTTTCATTCCTCTCAGCAGGAAGCACTCTGAATCAGTACTGAGCCAGTGCACAAGCTTCATATGAGGGGTCACTGTATTGCTAGAGTTGATTGTCTCCTTTACCCCACCTAATCTCAGTTGCCCTGTTGTCCTTTCCCAGTTCCAGTGCGACGGCTGCACAGCCGCAGGAGTCGCTGCCGCAGCAGGGTTTGCAGAAATCTGTCTCCAATTTACAGAAGCCGACACAGCCAATCAGTCAAGAGGTAGGTGCAAGTGGCGCTGACGACTGCTACTCAGTTTTCCCCGGGCCCATGCAGCCTAAAGATTGACCGATCATTGACCTCTGGAATGTTCTGCTGCTGTTAAATTATCAAATCTATAGGAAGAGTTCAGCTGAAACCTAGGGAAAATGGCTGAAATATAAGGAACTTGATTTGCATTTGTTAAGGCACTTTATTTTGGTTCTCATTTAAAGGTAGTTAGGTGACATCAGATCCAGTTGCTACTTCTAGCCAAAGGTTTCACTTGATAAGAAGTGATTTGGTTGCGTGTGACAAACAGCGAGTGTCAGGGCCTGAAAAAATCCCCTAACAAGTGAGACGTTTCCCCCGCCAGTGAACGTTCAGACCTAATCCCTCTATAAGCTGCAGAATTTAAGCTTCTACTGTAGCTGAAAATTCCAAACCTGTGAGAGTTTTGGAAAGTCAGGGCAGAAGAAGGGAGGTTGTTGGGTGTATGACAGAGAGTGAAAGTCTTCCAAGCATAAGATGTGGCGTAGAAGAAGGCTGAAAATTGAGTGGAAGAATGTGTGGGAAAAGTGGCAGAGAAGGGAGACTTTGGCAGAGGAACAGACTGAGAACAGGCAGAGGAAATAGACAGGGAAGCCAGTGAAAGTATCCAAAGCAGGAGAAGTCAGGGTCCGAGCGAGGAAGAGGATTTTAACTGCAGCATTTTGGATAGATTGGAATGGGGGAGGTGCAGAGCGAGGAGGTGGCGATCTCAGTTGGAGGATTGGGGCACTAGCAGGATCTAGTAACATCTGGATTATACAGTGATCTGACCACGATGGCATTGTCTTGTTTCACTTTCACCCAGAAGGTGAGGAACTTTCACAAGGGTCTTTTTCTTTTTGCAGAGTACAAATTCAGTGCCAGGTGGGCCAAAGTCATGGGCACAGCTGAATGGAAAGCCAGCAGGACAAGAAGGTGGTGAGTATGATTACGAATAATGGAGCAGCGTATGTGCACACTGCTTTATAAACACACATGATGAGCTCTTTTCCATGATGCACACCCAGTCTAAAGGCTTGTCTAGACATAGGTAAACTTGCACTAGTATAACTACAATGAGGTCATTACTGTCTATGCTGTTAATGGCTTCGGCTTGACTGAGGAGCCTGAAACCAAGGTAACATTTTGAGCAGAAAAATTAACTCCTTAAATTGGGATCTGGCTGATAGGGAATATGGCTGTTTTTATACGAGATGTAGGTTCTAGTTGCCATGAATATTGGTATTTAAGGTTCATAAAGAATATCAGTAGGCCTGTGGCACTGAGCTTTTAATAGACCAGGAGCCACTAGCTCTTCAAATAAAATTGCAGAGTGTCTAAAGAATGAAATAGATTTAGAATGCAAAACGAGATGTAACAAGCTTATGAAAGCTGTCTCAAAGCTCAATCATCAAAGCAGAAGCTTACACTTGCCTGAGGTGACTACCAGCACAAATACATATTTAACCTTTGTATCTTTTTTTTTTTTAAATTGCTGCTTTCTCTGAGATTGTTGCCATACGGACCCCATCTAGGGTAGGTTTTAAATCTGTGGGCCAAATTAGCATCTCCTAGAGAACTGTGGTCAAACATTGCCCTCTAAGAAAGTGCTAATGTGCTTTAAGAACTCAGTATAGATCAGGCCATTGTTAAGATACAGTACTTAAACCTGAGGAAAGAGCTACGTGCAGGGCTAAGAAGAGCTTAATTAGAGGATAATTGAATCAGAGAAATCAGGCTCCAAAGACTTATTAGGTCATCTTGTCCTCTGCACCTGTTCTGCAACTGCTTTGAGCAATTGCATTTACAGTCTAGTTAAAGCAACAGTTTCCAGTATTAACAGCAAGGATTGAGATCTTTGCCCATTTGCTCATTTATTTTAGTTATTGTGTCTTCCTTAAAGATGTCATTTTTGTTGAAGCGTTGGGGGAAGGGGAGAATTTTGTAAATCGGCTGTACTGTAATACGGTATTTGAGTTATCAATTGGGATGTGAATGCTGAAACTGTATGTATTTCCTGTCCAAAGGAATCTTCAGGGAAGGATGTTTACACTGCATTGCACTTACCCCAGTGCAGTGCATGCTGGGGAATTAGGCTCCATGCCGTTGATACTGGCACACACACAATCCTTCTGTTGTGCAGCATTATCTGTTTGGGAAAAGTTTGCTCTCCCCCCTGCCCCCTTTTGCCGAGTCATAATGTAAATCTGTCTTGAAAGATGCTAGTTAACCTTCGCTGTTCATGCTATTAGAATTCTCACTATTCAGACAGATCAGTGCAATAATGCAGTACAGTTGGGAACTTTGGTACTATAAATGTTTGAGATGTGACCCATCTCATACATTTTAAGAACATAAGAACGGCCATACTAGGTCAGACCAAAGGTCCATCCAGCCCAGTATCCTGTCTGCCGACAGTGGCCAAGGCCAGGTGCCCCAGAGGGAGTGAACCTAACAGGTAATGATCAAGTGATCTCTCTCCTGCCATCCATCTCCACCCTCTGACAAACAGAGGCATGGGACACCATTCCTTACCCATCCTGGCTAATAGCCATTAATGGACTTAACCTCCATGAATTTATCTAGTTCTCTTTTAAACCCTGTTATAGTCCTAGCCTTCACAACCTTCTCAGGCAAGGAGTTCTTACATTTTAAGACTGATAACTTTTGCCAAATGTTTGTTTGGAAATGCTACGTATAGTACGAACTTTTTTAACTGGAAACAATTTTCAACTATGGGATGAAGAACCACGATTTTGACCATGCAAGATCCTATGCTGTGAAACAGCATCTATGAACATGTTACAAAGTAACATTTTTTTAAAACCGTCTCTCCAGAATTTAAAGGGACACTGTTAAAATAGGTTATGCTCTAAATTTTGCTAGTCTGTAAATGTTTTTTATGCTTTTACCAAAAGCGATAGAAATATTTTAATTTAAACTAATTTTTAAAGAAATTGTAAAGAAAATGGTAGGGTAGATTTTGTTTTGGCTTTTTTTTATTGGTTGTTTTTTTGTTTTTGATTTTTGGGGTTTTTTTTAATTGACTAATCCTCTCCGTTATTGGAAACCTGAACACAACAGCACTGACTTAATGTATGAGTTCCAGAAAGTGAAACTGACTAAATAGGCCAATTTTGCTTCACTTTTCAGAGCAGAAATGGCAAAGATCTTCAGGTGTGTTTAATAAACACAGGTGGGGTGTGTAACATACAGTTTTGAAATGGGACTTTTTATTTGGACAATGCCCCTTTAGTGCAAGGAAACAGTTATCAAAACAAAGCACACACTATTCAACAGGCTCAGGATTTCTGTGCGTTAGTTACAAAATGACTTTCTGATGAAGTGTTCTTTAATATTGTGTACGGTTGTAATGCTAGCAGTTTTCTTCTACACAGTGTAATCTTGCGAATGGGTTTAGGATGAATTGCGGTTCACTGCTTTCTACTCACCATTGGATCTTTATAACAAACAAAAAGCCACCTTAGAGTTGCATTTTATGATCGCTAGAGACTCAGCAGGGTAACTCTCCAGTAAGAATAACTGAACCTGGGCAGATTTGGTCAGTGATCTGTATCTTAATGCTATAAAGGAAGGCAGTATATGTACCACAGTGTAACACTTGATGCTTATTTATAACTTCTCACAGAGAACATTGCAGGGAGCATAACAACATAATTCTGCAGTGGACAAAGTTGGAGGAATCTGAATATAAATGTTTAGTGCTTCATAGCATTTCTGAAGTGAGCTTCCTGAATTTTCATTTCCAGTTCAGTGTGAATGAACATATTGTACAAAAATAATCAGGGAGCTGCAGAACTTTAATTAGTTTTGTTGAACACAGGAATTTAAATGAAACCCATGCATTAGTAGTGGCTAGGTACTTCAGTATGGACGTGTATTGTCATGTTAGCCACAGCCAGGCATGTCAATAACTAGTTAGCAAATGCTGAGGCAGGCAATAATTTGTGTTTGTGCTAGAAACTGAGATTTTTCTCGAGAAAAATTTTTGTGCTATGGTTCCTGGATGATTACAAACAAGGCAGGGCTGTTGCAGGACGGAGCAGCCTTGTCTTATCTGTGTTGTGCTCTTATTTCTTCAACAGGTTCAAGGGCCTCAAGCCGACTGTTATCCTTCTCTCCCGAGGAATTTCCGACGCTGAAAGCAGCTGGCGAGCAGGACAAGGTTGGCAAAGAAAAGGGCGCCTTAGATCTGTCGTATGGGCCAGGACCAAGCCTCCGCCCCCAGAGTAAGTAAATGGCAGCATATTGCTTTCCTGCCAGCCAGCCAGCCACAACCCTTCAGATCATTTTTTAAAAAAGTGGAGAAATGGCCCTCAGGCCAGTCTGCAGTAGTTTCGAATGCTTCCTCTCCCGTGTTGTCTGTCACTCCTACAGGCCTCCATGGTCTGTTTGTCTCCGCAAATAACGACAGAATCTTGGGGCTGAAATTGGGCACTTGAGTTCTGCAGGACAGACAGCTAAATATTTACTGTCATCTGCCTAATAATTACTTAAAAATTGCTCTTTGTGTGAGGGAAGAAGGTTATGTTGGGCAGTGGGATGCAAATGAAATATTGTATCAGTTCTGTTCCCTAATGAACATTTGTCCGTAGCGCAAACTATCACTTAACTGTAGCAGCACTTTTGATAGGAAATACCCACTATTGGGATAGCAGAGATGGTGTAGGTCAGTATTTGGGCTCACTGACGGCTAGCTGCATGCGTAAGCTTGCACAGTCACTGCTGCAGCAATTCCTTAGTAACAGTTGATGCTATTAGTCTCTTCTATGAAATGTCTGTAAATTTTCCATTGTTCCTTGATTTGGTCTTTCTCTCCTTTGACATTAATTACGAAGCCACCAAGTTATTCTGAGCCTGGAAACTCTTTGCTTGATGACCTTCGACATGTGCCCTCCCCCACACACTCACACATGTATTATTTCATTTTCAGATGTCACCAGTTGGAGGGAGGGCGGTGGGAGGAACATTACCTCTGCCACATCTCTGACCGCCTCCCCTCCTGAGCCGGGCAGCAAGACCTCTAGCACAGGAGATGGAGCCCCCTCCTCAGCGAGTGCCAGCGATCCTAAGGAGCCCTCTCTCCGCCCGGCTCAGCCTATCCGTAAAGGGGCTTCGCAGTTCATGGGAAATGCGTACCATCCGCCTACGTACCATGACATGCTACCTGCTTTTGTAAGTCCCTCTGCTCCCACGAGCTGTGTGCGCGCGTCCGTTTCTCCCTGATTGTAGGGTGTCACCGTTCCCACTCAAAGAAATTAATAGTGTGTGAGGGGGAAAAATGTTATGTCTGATTCTGCTAGCAGAGGCACCAAATTTCCAGATCCTCCCCTCCCAGGTATTGCTCTGGGCCGGCTGAGATCTCTTCCCTTATTTGTCTTGCCATTCCCATCTTGTAGATTTCTCTGACATTTGTCCTCAATAGCCAACATAAGTGCAACACTGATCCCCTCCATTCAGAAAGAAATGCCTGCGTCCGCTGAAAAGCCTCATTACCTCTCAACTGGCACGGGAAAGGATGGTGTCCAAGATGACACCATGCCTGCCAATCAGATAAATCTGAAATGTTCTCCCTCCCTTCCGAACCCCAGCACTAAAATGCCCTTGTAATATTAATAAATATATTTTTTTTGGCAAAGAAAAACCAGTATGTTTATCGTTGTTCTGTTTCAGATGTGTCCACAACAGTCATCTGAGGTCCCTGGATCACTGGACCGTGGGTCTTTCCCCCTTCCTCAGCTTCGGCTTGAGCCCCGTGTCCCTTTCAGACAATACCAGATGAATGACCAAGATGGGTAAGGCCTCCAGAACGGACTCACTTGCAGAGGAAAATTAATATAGGATAAGTTCCTTATCTTATGCAAGAATCTTATGAAATGAGCCAGCCTGGTGGATAAAGCTGTATGCCTGGCTTCATTTAAAGCCTCAGTGTTTTGCTTCCTCTGCAGCAGGGTCAGGGAGTGTTACAGAGGCAGGGAGCTGAGCTTCCAGAAGATGAGCGAGTCCTGCACTTTGTTCAAGGAACAGAAGAACCTCAAAAGAAATCCTGTCCAGTCCTAGGTCATAAGGATGGTGTCTGTGACCTATAGGCATCCAGGAGGGGCTATTGGAGGCTCTATAATAAACAATGAGGGGAGAGGAGGGAGGATTTAAAGGGCAATAACAGTTGTTTGTAGGTTTGCTGCGTAAGCATGAGACACACAATGTAGCTTAAACTGGTGCATTGTTATAAATTGCAGGCATATAGATTCCCTGCGCTTTCCATCCTTCTCTCTTAACCGGTGTTTGCAGCAATAACTTTTTGTCTCACCATATAGAAAAGAGAATAGACCTGGGGTATCTCGCCCAACGCGTCCAGTTCGGCAGCAAGGAGAGCGGGCTCCCCGGCCCACCATTATCAATGCAGAAAACCTGAAGGAGCTGGATGAACTCGACACTGATGCAGATGATGGTTGGGCAGGTAAAGTACCATTATCTTCTTGCTTCAAGCAAGCGGTAACTACTCAGGGAGTGAAGAGAATGAATTGCTAACCCCGCCATCCCAAAGAAAGACCCTATTCATTCCCATGCTCCCCTGCTCTCCACACAAAAGAGGAGGGTGTTCTATGCAGCTGGTGGTGGTGTAAATGATGGTACAATAGATCGTTCAGGTCCTCCCATCATGCTGTACTCAAGGAACTGGATCTGAGGATTCACAAGCTTGATAACACCATGTGGCAGAAAGGGAACCGCTGGAGCTGATCTTCCCTTCTGGGAAGAGATGGAGTCAAAGTTAGCCGCAAATCCTGAGAGTCCCATCGTCTCAGTGCATGCAGCTGAAGTCTAGCTATGTATGATCTCGGGCACAGGATGCTTCATCTCCGTTTTCGTCCTCCCTGTCTGTAATGCATGCTACCAGTCTTCTGAAATCTGCCTGCGATTGAGATGTGTGGTCAAGACCTACACTGCTTGTTTTCGATAGTCCTAATAATAGTGCTGTGCTTGGACACTCAGTTTTTCTAAGTTGTGTCTGGTTTATGCCTATAGAGTGGTGCAGATCAAGATGCTTTTCAGTTTGTTATAGGGCCCTCTTTCTTTCCTTTGATGTATCCTTTCTTCACTCCCGCCACTATAGGCATACATGACGAAGTGGATTACTCCGAGAAACTGAAGTTTAGCGAAGATGAGGAAGAGGAAGAAGCTCTTAAAGACGGAAGACAGAAATGGTAAGAGGTGTCTGTCTGACATTCCATTGGTGCTGTGTTCATACCTTTGGTTTCTCTTTCAACAAGTGTAAAAATTATCATAGGCTATTTAAAATTTGTTCTAATCATCAACTTTATGGTATAACCTCATGGATTCCACTTTTCAAAATCTATGTTGAGACAGCTTTGTGGCATAGATAGGATACGTGACTGGGCGCCAGGAGACCTGTGTTCTGTTCCTTGTTATGCCACTGACGAGCCTTGTGACCTTGGGCAAGTTACTTCATCTTTGTGTACCTCATTTCTTCCATCTGTAAAAATGGTGGCTTTAATACTTACACATCTTTACAAAGCGTTTTGTGATCTACGGATGAAAAGCCCAATATACGTGTCAAGTATTTTTGTTTGTTGGATTCTCTAGTCCCTCTTTCCATTGTATTGTAGCTCGTATAACAAGCCTTCTTATGACTTGATGAATGAGTTGAAAATGTGTTTTGAGATTATTTGGAAATGGTAATATCAATGGCATTTGTACAACAGGAACAGCTGGGACCCCAGAAGGCAGCGACAGCTGTCCCTGAGCTCTGCAGACAGTGCAGATATTAAACACACCCTGGAGGAAGGAAAGAACTGGGGTGACCCAGTTGGTTTGTCTCGGTCAGTTGTCAAGGTGCAAGGCCCCCAGCAGCCTTCAAGGAAGCTGAATGGCTGGACCCCTGCATCAGAATATCAGGTATGTTGAAGTTGCATAGATTGGCTTGTGCTGACAGGACGCTTAATATAACAAATTACTCTGCTTCAGAATCCATGTTGAATTATACAAACAGCGGTCTAGCTTGAAGCACCCATTGTGACAAAATGAAACCTGAGTAAAGCGTGAGTAGTTTAGTGAGCAGCTAATCATAACAGGCAGGAAGACTGGGAGAGGATATTCTTTTGAGCCTACCAACTCTGCTCCTAATCATTTGGAGGGTGGGTGCACTGCTGAATGATACAAAGCACTTCCTTTTCTCCCAGCTGTAGAGATTTTCCCGTGCAACACCCCCAGTAGAGAGAGGAGAGTGAGAATTTAAGCTGGGCCAGAATGCTTAGGTTGCCCCAAGACTTGTTTTGTGTGTGTCAATTTAGTAATGTTGTCTTTGGAATTTGTGCATGGTGGCAATCAGTTTCCATCAAAAAGCAGGGGTCAGGTTTTTTTTTCAAAAACTTTTTAAGCGTTTAGCAATTTAAGACTGAACCAAATGGGGTCGTGGACATATTCTCAGCTAAGAAGCTCTCTGTAGGTGGAGGGGAGGGGTTGTACCTTGTGTGGGATTAAAAAGGTTAAACTGCATGAGGCTAGTTTTTTCAGATGATGCTCAGTGGGGTATTCCTTCCTTTGGCAGAAGCTCCCACTGGGATGTATTCTCAGACAGCAGTCCTTGGAGGATAAAGAAGAAAAGGTGCCCCTGAGACAGAAGTTTGTCCACTCTGAGATCTCGGAAGCTGTTGAGCGAGCCAGGAGGCGACGTGAGGAGGAAGAGCGACGAGCCAGAGAGGAACGCCTGGCTGCCTGTGCTGCCAAACTCAAGCAGCTAGATCAGAAATGCAAACTGGCTCAGAAACCAGGAGAGACCCAGAAACATGTGGAGAATGAAGATCTGAAACCCCCGAGTGTGGAAAAGAAGGTGGCTCAGGAGAATGGTCATACGTTCCGTAGAGGTAGGGAGATGTTACCTTGCGTTTATATTATCGCCTTTTAGCTGAGCAAGGATGTAACCGCGCACTGCGGGGACAAAGAAAGTGGTCGCAGGCTGCTTTGAGTCACATCACAAGGGATCCATTTTTTCTAGTTTTCTAAAGAACATTTATTTTGGGTCAATAACGTAGGGCCTCCTTTAAAGGGACACAATTGATTAAAAACTGTATTAAAAAGAAAAAAAAATCCTACCACCCCAATTTCCTTATCCAAGTTACAAACAACACCTTACCTGATTAGACAGAATTTTTACAGTCTGATTTACTTATTATGCCCTCTCTTTACTTGTCTCTCAATTTAGATGAGAACAAAGCCTCAAATTCCATTGTTATTTGTATAGTCAATTTCGCTTTCAGGTTTTCATGCTTTAATACAACACTACAATATTTAGGGTGCAAATACTGTAGAAAATGTTTAGAAAAACTTTCAATTTGGATGGTAGTCTTTTTCAGAGCTTAATTTGAAACAAACTAATTTAAGATGAGATTTGATGCAACCAGTGACACTTAAGTAGGTCCTTAAATACACATGAAGAGCAGCAGTTGGCTCTCAACAAAGGAATGGTGTGTTTGTACAGTAACTCCTCACTTAACATTGTAGTTATGTTCCTGAAAAACGCAACTTTAAGTGAATCCAATTTCCCCATAAGAATTAATGTAAAGGGGGAGGGAGGGTTAGGTTCCAGGGAAATTTTTTTCACCAGACAAAAAGACACACACACACACACACACACACACACACACTTAAGTTTTTAAACAAACTAATTTAATACTGGTACATAGCAATGATGATTGTGAAG